CCCCCCCCGTCCCCCGCCCCAGGAACACTTCATCAAGGGCCTGGGGCTGGTAGGCACCATCTGGGAATCGGAGGTGCACATCGGTGGGCTTAGGGTCCTCAACAACCTTCCACTGGCTGAATTCGTGCACCCCCAGCTGCCACGGGGGATGCCTGCCTTGATGGAGATTCTTCAGTCAGAATATCACATGGGACAGGGGCCTCAAGAACATGGCCCAGGGCCTGCCCTCCTGACCAGGTCTGGGACAGGATCTAGAGGAGGGGGTCTCAACCTTCCTAATAATGCCGCGACCCTTTAATACAGTTCCTCATGATGTGGTGACCCCCAACCATAAAATTATTTTTGTTGCTACTTCATAACTGTAATTTTGCTACTGTTATGAATCGTAATGTAAATATCTGATATGCAGGATGTATTTTCATTGTTACAAATGGAACATAATTAAAGCATAGTGATTAGTCACAAAAACAATATGTAATTATATATGTGTTTTCCGATGGTCTTAGGCGACCCCTGTGAAAGCGTCGTTCGACCCCCAAAGGGGTCGCGACCCACAGGTTGAGAACCGCTGATCCAGAGGGAGGAGAAGAGACCGTGTCTTCTCTGCTCAGGCCCAGACTCACCTGCCTTCTCATGTTTTACTATTTCCTTCATTTAGGTGCAAGCCATACGACTGCTGAGCCACCTGGCACAGAAGAATGACCTTCTCTATGATATTCTCAACTGCCAGGTGAGAAAGGCAGTGATGAGGGGCTGATGGATGCCAACTCGGATACTGGGGAAGGAAGAATTCTCCAGACAGACTTCGCCCTGACAAGACTGGTGTTCCTCTTCCTGCCTGTGCGCTAGGCACACTGAAGATCACTCCCTTCTCCGTCCTCCCAAAAGAATCAGAATCAGTTCTGTTGGGAGGAGGTTCTCCTCTGAGGGGCTTTCTAAACTGAGAATGAGGAACACAGGTGACAAAACAGAAGTTGATGTAGTTACTTTAATATTAGGGAAGAGTTACTTATAACAAAAACCATTATTAGGAATAGATAAGGTCACCACCATAATAATGGTTCAGGGGGCTAAAGCAACTCTAAATTTATTTATTTATTTATTTAAATATATTTTATTAATTTTTTACAGAGAGGAAGGGAGAGAGATAGAGAGTTCGAAACATCAATGAGCAAGAAACATCGATCAGCTGCCTCCTGCACACCCCCTACTGAGGATGTGCCCGCAGCCAAGGTACATGCCCTTGATAGGGAATTGAACCTGGGAACCTTCAGTCCCCAGGCCGACGCTCTACCCACTGAACCAAGCCGGTTAGGGTGCAACTCTAAATTTAGATGAACCTAATAACATAATCTCAAAATATAGTGGCAAAACTTGATAGAATTACAAAGAAACAAAATTTCTCTCTTTTTTTTTTCAGTTTTGTTGAGGTATAATTGACAAATAAACCTGTAAGATAGTTAAAGTATACAGTGTGGTGATTAACATGTATGCATTGTGAAGGATTCCCACCCATCACCTCACATCTACTTTTGGGGAGGAAGGAGTGGTGAGAACATTTAAGTTCTAATCTCTTAGCAAATTTCAATTGTATAATACAGTGTTATCCACTATAGTCAACATGTTTTACATAAAGCCTCAGACCTCTTTTACCAACCGCTCCCTACTTCCCTTCCTCCAACCCCTGACAACCATTTGTCTCTGTTTCTATGACTTTCTTTTTTTTAAAATCTTTATTGTTGAGAGTATTACAGATGTTCCCCCTTTTTCCCCCATCACCCCACTCCACCTGGTTCCTGCCCCACCCCAGGCCTTCACCACCCTACTGTCTATGTTCTTAGGTAAGAACTTTAATTTCTTCCCTCCACCCCCACCCCCTTCCCTCTGAGATTCGTCAGTCTGTTCCATGCTTCCATGCCTCTGATTCTGTTTATTCACCAGTTTCTTTTGTTCATTAGATTTCTTGTTTGCTTTTTATTTTTAGATTTGATTGTTGATAGATATGTATTTGTTGCCATTTTATTGTTCATATTTTTTATCTCTTCCCCCTCCCCCTCCTCTTTCTCCTCTCCCTCCTTCTTCTTCAATAACACCCTTCAACATTTCATGTAATACTGGTTTGGTGGTGATGAGCTCCTTTAGCTTTTTCTGTGAAGCTCTTTATCTGAACCTCAATTCTAAATGATAGCTTTGCTGGGTAGAGTAATATTGGTTGTAGGTCCTTGCTATTCATCACTTTGAATATTTCTTGACACTCCCTTCTGGCCTGTAAAGTCTCTGTTGAGAAATCAGCTGACAGTCATATGGGTGCTCCCTTGTAGGTAACTAACTGTTTTTCTCTTGCTGCTTTTAAGATTCTCTCTTTGTCTTTAACCCTTAGCATTTTAATTATGATGTGTCTTGGTGTGGGCCTCTTTGGGTTTCTCTTGTTTGGGACTCTCTGCACTTGCTGGACTTGTAAGTCTGCTTCTTTCACAGGGATGGGAAGTTTTCTGTCATTATTTCTTCAAATAGGTTTTTAATACCTTGCTCTCTCTCGCTTCCTTCCGGCACCCCCATGATGTGAATGTTGGTATGCTTGAAGTTGCCCCAGAGGCTACCTACAGTTTCTTCATATTTTTGGATTCTTTTTTCTTTTTGCTCTTCTGGTTGGGTGTTTGTTGCTTCCTCATATTCCAAACCATTGATTTGGTTCTCGGAATCTTTTACTCTACTGTTGAATCACTGTAAATTGTTCTTTATTTCGGTTAGTGTATGCTTCGTTTCTGACTGGTTCTTTTCCATGTCTTTGACATTCTCACTAAGATCCTTGAAAGTCTCATGAAGATCCTTGAGTAACCTTATAACTATGGTTTTGAACTCTGTATCCAGTAGTGTGCTTGCTTCTATTTCTTTCATTTGTGACATGTTTCTTTGTCTCCCCATTTTGGGTGCTTCCCTGTGTTTGTTTCTATATATTAGGTAGAGAGAGCTAGTATGTCTCCTGGAATTGGTAGAGTGGCCTTGGGTATTAGGTGTGCTGTAGGGCCCAGTGGCTCAACTTCCCAGTCACCTGACCTGGGGACTCTAGGTGCACCTCTGTGTGGGCTGTGTGCACAGTCTTGTAGTTGAGCCTTGATTGCTGTTGGCATCTCTGGGAGCAGTTGACCTCCAGGCCAACTGGCTGTGAGGACAAGCTGTGACTACCGTGGGAGCACTGCTGTGCAGGAGACGAGACCCAGCTGTGAAGAAGGCAGGCTGGTGCTAGTGCTTGGTCTTGGGCCTTTTATTGATAGGTTTGGGGCATGCTGTCACCAGTTGCAGCTTGTTTGAGAGATTTTAGCAAAGTCTGAAACCTGAGCCAGGACAGGCCATTCATATGGAAAAGCTGCTGCAAACAGCTTGGGTGGGGCTGCAAATTGGATGGGGTGGGGTCTCAGGGAATCCCCAGGGTGGAGCAAACAGTGTGAAGCAAGCTGATGGAAACTCAGATATGGCTGCCAGTCAGCCCTGTGACAGGGAAGGTCCCAGCACAAGAACAATGACCCTTGTGAGCACTCCCATCTGGGAGAAAGCCGCCCTCGAGTTCCTGCCCCGATGCCAGACTATCCAGTTCCTCCCCGTATGTGTCTGGGTCCCCTGGCGCTGGAGCTCAGAAGAAGTGGGACAGTTTAAGTCAGTGGTTCTCAACTTTGGCTGCACATTAGAATCACCTGGGAATCTTTTTAAAATCCTGATTTCTGGGCCTCATTCCGGAGGATGAGGTTCTCTAAGGTTGAGAACCACTGGTTTAAGTTTGTGTACAGGCCCTTTAAGAGGAATACCTGGGACTCCAGCAGCTTACGTGTCACTCAGCCACAATACCCACCAGTTTTTACAGCCTGAAGTTACAGGGACTTCCCTTCTCAGCTCTGGAACTCTGGGTTGGGGGGCTGGTGTGGGGCTGGGACCCCCTGCTTCTCATGGGCAGTCTCTGCAGAGACGATCTTCCTCCCGACTGAAAAAACAGCCCTATGGGTGCGGGACTAGTCCATTCAGTGCCTCCACCCCTCCTACCAGTCTCAATGTGCTATCTTCTTTACTTCTCTAGTAGTAGGACTTCCATTTAGCCAGCTTTCAGGCAGTTCCGCACAATGGTGGTTTTGTATTTTAGTTGAAATTTTGATGTGGTTGTAGGAGGCGGTGAGTACAGGTGGTTACCTATGCTGCCATCTTGGTTCCTCTTCCTGACTTATCTTTTTTGAAAGATTCCACATAAAAATAAACGTGATGCCATGTATTGTTTGTCTTTCTCTGTCTGGTTTATCCCACTTAGTATAATGTCCTCAAGGTCCATCCATGATGTCACAAATTAGCAGGATTTCCTTCTTCCTCACAGCTGAATAATTATAAAGAAAAATTGACAAATCTACTACCACAGTGGAAGACTTGGAAGATTGCACTCTTTCAGCAATTAATAGATAAAATCCTAAAACCAGTTAAGGCAGTGGTTCTCAACCTTCCTAATGCCGCGACCCTTTAATACAGTTCCTCATGTTGTGGTGACCCCCAACCATAAAATTATTTTCGTTGCTACTTCATAACTATAATTTTGCTACTGTTATGAATCGTAATGTAAATATCTGATATGCAGGATGTATTTTCATTGTTACAAATTGAACATAATTAAAGCATAGTGATTAATCACAAAAACAATATGTAATTAGATATGCGTTTTCCGATGGTCTTAGGCAACCCCTGTGAAAGGGTCATTCGACCCCCAAAGGGGTCGCGACCCACAGGTTAGAACCACTGAGTTAAGGGTATACTTGCTGAGAATAACACAAACCAGCTTGAGACATACTCAGAACACTGAGTATTAGACATACTCAGAACACTCTATAATTAGTAAATGCACATTCCTCTCAAACACACAAAACATTTATAAAAATTAACCACACATTAAACCTTAAAGTTTGTCATGACATATTTCCTAGAATTAATGTTATTACCAAATAACTCATGTTTTATGACCACAAGGTAATTATGTTAGAGAACTAGAAGCCCGGTGCACAGATTCGTGCATGAGTGGGGTCCCTCTCACAATCTGGGACCCCTGGGGGATGTAGCAGCACCAAAGCAGCAGTCTCATTCTGGCTCCACCGCTGCCCGGCTTCTCTCTGAGTGGTGCTCCCACTGTGGGAGTGCTCTGACGACCAGGGGACAGCTCCTGTGTTGAGCGTCTGCCCCCTTGTGGTCAGTGTGTGTCATAGCGACTGGTCCTCCGGTTGTTTGGCCGTAATGGTCGCTTAGGCTTTTATATTTATAGATGATAATGAAAAGAAAATTAAAATGCTCCCATACAGTGGACTCTGAAATTAGGTATATTGGGGAGTTGAGGCGATGGGAAGATGGAAGAACTTTAGGAGTTGTCTTGGATTTCATTGCCATCCTCTCTTCATCCCTATCACAGGTGCACACCAACTTTCTGAACCTGTTCCAGGTCAAACAGCCAGGGAGTCTGCTGTTCGAGGTACTGGTGTTTGCCGAGCGGCTGAGTGAGGGCCGGAACACGCCACACTACCGTGCCGTGAAATGGCATTACAACGAACAGTCTCTGCATGAAGCTCTCTTTGGGGAAAAGTCACGACTGGCAGACCGGCTGCTCGCCCTGGTCATCCACCCGGAGGAGGAGGTTCAGATCCAGGCCTGCAAGGTCATAGTCAGCCTGCAGTGCCCCCAGGACATAAGAGGGCGGTCCTCTTCCTGCATGACTGGTCATCCCTGCTTTAATGGTGGGGAATAAAAGTAAGGAGAGCCAATAAATGAGTATGGGAGAGACGCTTGAGGAGCAGTGTCTGTCCAGGGCCTCCAGGGCTGGTGGAGATTTCATCCAGCTTAGCCCATGCCTCAGAGCATGACAAAGGCTGGGCCCACCTCCCCGCACACATCCCCACTTCCCTGTTTGGGGGACAGACTCCCTTTCCTCTTGCTGCTTTTCAAGTTGCAGTGTGGAGCCAGTGCTTCCAGGGAGTTCTGGGAGAAGGCAGGCTTGGGGACTGAGGCCAAAGATAATCAACAACAGATAGTATAACATTGGATTACTCAGGATGGGCGAGGTTCTGCTGCAGTAACAAACGACCTCCAAATTTTAGCAGCTTAAAAAGGATCAGGGTTATTTCTTATTCACACTCTGTGTCCATGGGTGGGGGGTAGGGGGTGAGTGGAAGGGCAGGCGAATGTTTTAAACCATCTTCTCTCAGGGGCAGGCTGAGGGAGGCTCTTCATTGTGTTTCTGCAACTCCTACTAGAGAAGGCAAAGGAAGGGTGACAGTGATCACTGGCTCTTAAAAGTTCAACCACACCCCACTGCTGTGGCTCAGTGGTTGAGCATCATCCTAAGAACCAGGAGGTCACGTTCAATTCCTGGTCAGGGCACATGCCCAGGTTGTGGGCTCAATCCCCAGTGCGGGGCGTGCAGGAGGCAGCCAATCAATGATTCTCTCTCATCATTGATGTTTCTGTCTCTCCCTCTCCCTTCCCCTCTGAAATCAATAAAAAAAAACTAAAAAAAAAGAATATAGTAATAGTACTTATCTTGTGAAGCTGTTGGGAAGATTCTTTGGGGATTATCTGAGTTAATGAATATCAGGCGCAGAGTTGTGCCTGAAGAGGTGTTCATCAAAGATGGGCTCTGAGGAGCTAGGAAATGCTCGTTGAGAAAATGAAAGATTAGCGTGGAAAGGCCCTTGGAGAGCGCCGAGTCCGATGTCTCTCCAGTCTCTTTGGGTAACAGGCACCAGAGAGTCCCAGCGTCCCCTGCGAAGCGCCCTGAAACACTGCAGGAAGCAGAGGGCATGTGTAATATACACCCACACCGTGAAGTCTCCGTAACAGGGAGACTGCCGGAGCGCGGTGGCCACCCAGTCAGGTTTGCCCCTGCACGGCATTGCCCACTCTGCATTCCCTGTGTTATCTGTGGTCCCTTCCCGGCAAGCACACGGTGCTGGTGCTGGTTGCTAATGGCTTAAGACAACATCATGGGAGAAAACCCTACGATTGGAGCTAGTCACAGTCTGCTGCTACTTGCTTTAGAAGGCAGGTCATGCTGACCAGCTATGGATGCCCACTGTCCTTCAGAGGCAGGACTGAAAGCCACCATCTAGTCCAAGGCCAAGCCTGGCATTTTGCTGAAGGGAAAACAAGCCCAAATAGGGAAAGTGACTTGCTCAAGGTCACATGACTGGTCTGGGGCACAAAGAGGATTAGAGCCATTTAGTCTTGTTGTTGTTTTTTTTTTTTGTGTGTGTGTCTGTTTTTGTTTGGTTAATCCCCACCTGAGGATATTTTTCCATTGATTTTTAGGGAGAGTGGAAGAAAGAGGGAAAGACAGACAGAAAAGAAACATCAATGTGAGAGAAACACATCGATTGGTTTGCCTCCTGCACGAGTCCTGACCAGGGCCGCTCTCAGCCAGCTCCCTGTGTTCCCATGTCACCAGCTGGGTACTGGACCTCACCTCCCACTGCTGCTCCCCACCACATCCCAGCAGCCATTCTGAACATCTCACGTCTACCCAGGTCTCCAGTGTCCACTGCTGCTACCCTGATCCTGACACCAGGACTTTTGGGTAGTCATGTTCCAACTCTGGTCTCCATACTCCAGGATGTGCTTAGAACCTACATCACATCATCTTCAAAAACCTTCGGGGGCTCCCCACTGCCACAGTGAACTTTTTCTCAGCCCCAAAGCTAAGCCACATGACCCGGCAGGTAAAACTGTACTTACAGCCAAAGCAGGTGGAGTTTCGTCCTCAGAGATATGGTCATTGGGCCCCATTTATCATGGTAGTTGCACAGGAATTAGCTTTGCACCTAAGGCCCTTCACAATCTGGTCATCTTGCCTGCCACTAGCCCCCCATGTCAGGCCTCACCTCCAGCCACACGGCAGTGAGCCAGTCTTGCCGGAGCTGTTGATCCAGCTTCTCCCTGCCCACAGTGCCCTTCTCTCTCCTTGGCCCTGGGCTGGCTAAGTCTTCTACTGCAGCCGGGAGCTTTCCTCAGCCTTTGCTGCTTCCTGCGGCCCTTCTCCTGTGAATCTCATTGGGCATTTGGCAAGTTAAAGCTTGAATCTTACCGAATTTGTTCTTTGAGCAGTGGGCCTTGCAGTAGAGCCTGCTCTGGGGAGGCACCTGATGACAATTGGCTGATGGTAATGACAGGAGAGCTGGCAGTGGGCAATGAGATGGGCAGGTGGTGGGTGGTTCTTTGTTGCTGTGCAACAAATTATGGCAAAACTTAGCATATCAAGCCCAGACAAGAGAAAGCGAAGGAGTTCATCACCACCAAACCAGAATTACGAGAAATGTTAAAGGGACTTCTTAAGAAGAACAAAAAATAAAAATAAAAAATATGAATAACAAAATGTTGCAAAAAATATTCTCATCGGCAAAGGCAAACATAATAAAAGCAGTGGATCAGCCAACACTAACACTAGTACAAAGGTTAAAGGGCAAAAGTAGGAAGATTATGTGTAATGACAACAGTAAATTAAGGGGTACACACTGACACACACACAGTGAGTAAAAAATAATGACAAAAACATAAACATGAAGGAGGTGAGTAAAAATAGTGACTTTTTTAAAAAAAATATGTTTTTATTGATTTCAGAGAGATGGAGGGAAAGGGGGAGAGAGGAAGAAACATCGCTGAGAGAGAAGCATCAACAGGCTGCATCCTGCACGCCCCCCACTGGGGATCGAGCCAACAATATCTACTGGTTGTCTGAATGCCAGTATAAAATATATCTTTTGTAATGAAAAAAAAGTGGTTGAAATCTACTGGTCTATGGAACATAGTTTAAGGCTTTTTGGGGGTGGGAGGCAGTGGGCACAGGTTTCTGAGGACCCTCCCTTTGCCCTTGGCTAAAGGAACATGGCTGTAACTCACCCAGAGCAATCCTCAGCGTGTTGCAGCTCGGGGTATTCTAGACACCTGTGTTTCTGCCTGCCGGCATCCATTCCCATGAGGAACCACATCTCCCCTGCCTCTGGGAACCTGCTCTGCCCGGGTTCCGTGAGGTTCTGCTAATAATACCAGTCCCTACCCACCCTCATCCTCCCATCCCCCCACCTCCAGCCACATGATTGGCCTAACTTGGGCCAAAGTTTTCTAGGGTTTTATGTATGGGTGTTGAAGGGAGATGCTAGGACAGGGGTGGGCAAACTTTTTGACTCGAGGGCCACAATGGGTTCTTAAACTGGACCGGAGGACCGGAACAAAAGCATGGATGGAGTGTTTGTGTGAACTAATATAAATTCAGAGTAAACATCATTACATAAAAGGGTACGGTCTTTTTTTTTTTTTTTAGTTTTATTCATTTCAAACGGGCCGGATCCGGCCCACGGGCTGTAGTTTGCCCACGGCTGTGCTAGGGGCTTTGTACAGCTTTGCCCTCCCCCTGCCCCTGTCCAGAGAGGCAGAGAATGAGGGCGAGTGTGAAGGCTGAAGCCAAGGAGAAAGACATCTGATGTCAGCAAGGTGTGTCTCTGGGCCCCTGAAGCTGCTGACCCAGTATTGTTTCTTCTGGTTTTTATTTTTTAAACTAAAGACCTGGTGCATGAAATTCATGCATGGGTAGGGTCGGTAGGCCTGACCATCCATCAGGGCCAATCAGGACCTTCCAGCTGCCAGCCAGGGCCTTTCTTTATTCTGTGCCGCCCCCTGGTGGTCAGCGCACATCACAGCGAGTGATTAAACTCCCAGTTGAACTCCAGAGGGGAGACTTTGCATATTAGCCTTTTATATATATAGATAAGTTAATTTGTGCCCTAGCTGGTTTGGCTCAGTGGATAGAGCATTGGTCTGCAGACAGAAGAGTCCTGGGTTCGATTCTGGTCTAGGGCACATGCTTGGGTAGTGGGCTTGATCCCCAGGAGGCAGCCAATCAATGATTCTCTCTCATCATTGATGTTTCTAACTCTCTCTCCCTTCCTCTCTGAAATTAATAAAAAAACATATTAAAAAAATACAAAAGTTAGCTTCTTTCACTTGCAGCTAAAGGAATCGTGATTACCTCACGGCTCCCTGAGGTGGGCGAGGGGCTGAGGACTAACGTGGCCCAGAAAGTCCCTGAGTGGGAGGAGAATCGGGTCATCTGGTGTCAGTGAGTCTACGCATGCGCCCCACACTCAGGCAGTGTGGGCGGGCACCAGGTCGGGGCACCCCTCTGCTGTGCCCCAAGCTGTGTGGAGCCCACTGTGGACTAAACATGGAGGTGGTAGGGATTCCTGCCTTGTCCTCTGAGGAGCTCAACCCACTTCCATGGGTGGGGGCAGTGCCCACCAGGTACGGCTGCCCACCTCTGTCTCCAGGCAGAAGCCCCAGGGCCTGAGGGCCTGGCTAGGTCTGCAAGAGGCTGCTGGTGGGTTAGTTCTGTCCCCTCCCTCCAGGTCTTCCTCCTCCGCTAAGCCGACAGCCCCTTCCCTTCTCAGCCTGTCCTGGAAAGAAATAAGATGAGAGCTGTGTGCTCTGAGCCCTGACCCTTGTAGTGTGTGTGTGTGGGGGGGGGGGGAGGGGGGGCTGACGTTGGGCATGTGCAAGACTTCCGTTGGTCATGCTGGGCCTCTGCCTCTCTCAGGAGCCTCCTTCCCCTCACACCCCGGCTCCCAGGCTGGGGCTGGGTCCCCTGCCCTGACTCCGGCCCTGACTCCCCCAACCCCCTGTCCACTGAAGAGCCATCTCAACGGGGGTTCATGCCCCCACCGGCCCCACTGGGCTCTGTGTCCCTGAGCAGACACCTGTCCTCTTGTGTTCTCCTGCACTTGCCCTCACCTCCAAGCCCTGCTCCCTCCAGCGCCTGCTTGGGAGGCCTGTGCTCTCAGCTTGCCCACCCCCAGGCCCCCTTCAAGCAAGAGAGCCTCCCCTCGGGCATCAGGGCTGCGGGCATTCTACCTGGCGCCTCCACCTGGCCACCTGGAACATTCCCCCTGAGGTCCTCCAGAGCCTCTGCGGTCTCCACACCTCCCCTCCCCCGGGCCCTCGGGCACTCCGCCAGGTCGCTGTCAGGAACATACTGGGTGACAGACGGTCTCCGCTAGGTCACTGTTCTCAGGATTTTATCATGGATTTCACAGACCAAGAAAACTTTCAAAAAATTATGGAGACGCTGTATGTGTGTGTGTGTGTGTGTGTGTGTGTGTGTGTATTTAACAACATATATAACAACCAAGTAATGACATGGAAAACAGAACAAAACGACCATTGTGCTATTGCCATTGTTTCATAAAAACATACTGAACCCCCAAGAAGTAGGGAGGATGTAATTTTAGAATAAAGGATCATTATTTAAGTTCAATACATTTATTTTTAACCAAACAAAAACCCCACATTACCCTTATTTTTTCATTTTGCTGTAGACCAGTAAGTACATTGTCATGGAA